TGGTAGTGACAATCTTTAACTGTGCTTCGACTGGTAGAACAATGGTGATTCCTCAAATAGAGAAGAGGAAGAGTTGCTAGGTTTCTAGCTCTTTCCTGTAGCTGTTATGAAATGAATCAGTGAAATATGTGCTTTTTTTTTTTTCTTGAGTGTTTTTTAGCTTGGTGAGTGTCAATTTGCCTGTTGAAATGTGAGACTTGAATTTTCTTGTAAAGCGCAAGTCAGCTTCTTCTGGAAGCTTTTCATATGATGTTGCTGTATGCAAAATATTTCATGAAATGATGATGGAAAGACAAAAGAAGGCCATTTAGAGGCCACTTACTAGGGTAAAACAGCTAGTTCAAGATCTAATCAGAATTTATAGAGGGTTGCAGGCACTTGGATGCAGAAGTGAGTGTGTCATAAATGTTATGATGAAAAGATTCAATGAGTTGCTTTAAATAGAATTTGAGTATAAATTACTGCGTTAGGATAGTATTTTTGGTAAATCTGGTAATTAAATCCACCAAGTCTTCTAAAAAGACCTCCTGAATGTTGGAAGTTTAAGACAGAAGTTTACTAACAACAAATTTTGGAAAAGAGGTGTAGTGTCCTTGGGGATGAGTGATGCTACTGTGGACCTTGTGATCTGGTCGCTGGTGGGCAGTGTCTTTTTTTTCACTGTATTTAGTCTTTTTCTGTGTATGTTCCTTACATCTCAGCAGTGTGCATCTGCCTGGCTGGACTGATGGAGCTAGATTTGTATGTGCTCAGTGGTCCAAGTTGGTTATCTCCTAGAGGAGCATTGTTTTGTTTGCAACCCAAATGGTACGCGTGCTGATAGTTATACCAGTCCCCAAACATAGGAAAACCTCATTAGATGGTTTAGAAATATAAAGTATAAAAGCTTAATGCTAATGAATCTTGAGGCTTTTCTTAGAATAAGTATTGATGGTAAACTAGATAAAATGGTTTAAAACTGCTGTGGCAGGGTAATTCTCCAGGCGAACCAGAGTCTAAATTATGATGGGACTGGATCATGCTGGCTTTCTTCCGGTCTAGCACTCTTGTGTAACCCTTGTGTAACATCTGTGTTGGGCAGTGCTCGGCTGTGAATGCCTCAGTAGACGGGGTTTTACTAAAAGTAAGGCTTCAGATGAATGAGGATGATGAAGGTGACCGTGCAGTGCCTGGCACTTGGTTGGCAGGTGGAGCTCATGGCAGTCTGTGGATCTCTTCTAGCAGTTGGAGCTGCGGGCAGAGCATCGCAGGATCAGTGAGACCACCTTGCCAATGGGGAGGTGGTGGCCCCTGGGTGTCTTTGGGAATGCAGCTCCCTTGGTGCTTGGTTTTTTTTGTGCCTTTTTACATGCTGGGAGAACCACTTGGTATTTCTGTGGCAGTACGTGGGCTCTTGAAACTCAATAAAACCCTTGGTGAAGCTGCATCTGCTTTGAAGTACCATCAGGCCTCTTATCTGCTACCTGGGGGTGGCGAGCTGTGCCTCCCAACCCCCTGAGACAGTAGAAACCTTACTTTGTTTTTCCGGTTCACAACAACTGGCTCAAAAAGAAGAAAAGAAAAAGAAAAAAAGACAAAAGAAACGTGGCTTGGTTTGGGGGTTAAAAAACAAAACCCAACCCTCTTTGTATGTTGTTTCCACACCAGTTGCGCTTAACAAAGCGCAGTTTTACAGCAATCTAGTGTCTTGGCCAAGTAGTAAATTACTATGAAACTAGTGGTTAAAATGTCACCAGTACAGCCCGGGACGTGTCCCCAGCTCGGGCTGCTGACGGTTAAAGAGCCGTTCGTTGTTGAAGGTGTTAAAACGCTGCTGGGACGAGGGAAGCCAGCGCTACCGGGGTGTGGTTCTCTAGAGCTCGAGCACGTTTCCTGTGGTGTCTCAGCTCACCCCAGCTTCTAAAATACTGAGTGGTGAGTGTGGACCCCATTCAGGACTTTGCTGCCTCTAAACCTGAGGTTGCTGCCCAGCTTGAGCACAATGGGGGGCTTCTACTAAGGGGAAACCAGTTTATCTCTTCCCCTTGAAGGTTCTAATTGAAGGATGATAACTGGTCAGATAAGCTTAAGTGCGTTTAAGTGAGAGACAATGAAAGAATTTTGCTGGTTCCATGGTGAGACTTTATTTTACATCTGCTAATGAAGATGTGAGTCTTACAACTTAAGTATTCTGCGTGAATTGGGAAGATAACTTACTGCAGCAGCTTTACTTTAAAATTTAAGGACTGATTTACTCCAAATAGCTTAGAAACTCTTCAGGCACAGGTTGCAAAGAGCTGCCACAGATGTTTCAGTTCTGTTTTCTGGTGCTTCCTCTGTGCTCAGGCGCTTCGGCGTCCGATCACCGTTCAATGTGATGGTACCAGATAAGAGCAGCTCCTGTGTTTTATCCATAAACAGTGGAGCAAAAAACTATTTTTCTTTCGCGGTAGCTGGTACATTAGTGTCATAGGTGAACAGGAAAGACTTTAAAACAAACAAAAAGCAAACTCTTGCTTAATTGCTCATTTAATGTAACCCCTTTTATACTTAGATGTGGCATATGGACACCTTTGGTCTCACTGGTAGGTGTGCTGGGCAGGTCAGGCTCACAAGCCAGCATGCCTCCTGGTAGAAGAGACTGCTTCCAAGTATAAGTAGCAAAGCTGGTTTGGGGAGCTTTCAGCCCTTCTAGCAAACAGCTGGATTCCTGGTTGCCAAAGCACTGTGAAATTATCCAGTTGTCAACATCTAGGATCTGAGGAGAATGATTTTTGGGAAGATACAGCAGGAGAACTCAAGGTAATTGCATGCTATTGAAAGCTGCTAATTTTAAACAAAGCCTGGTTGCTTATTGGTTTAGGTCGTTTGCTCTTTGGTTGCTGCTTCTATGGGATGCTTTTTTCCTCATTATGACTTCATTTTGTCGGAGGTTCAGAGGGCTTCAAAACCAACTTATTCCTCATCTGCTTATTCATGATATCTTTGCTCCAGTGATGTCTAAATAGCGTTCTTTATGCACACAGCAATTAGAAATGCAGCTCTCCTTGATGTCAGCTTTGCTGTGCTGAGCCAACCTTTAACCTCTTGCAGAAGACACTTAAATTTTTAGCTAAACTTAAAACAAGAAAACCTTTAGGTTCATTATGAGTGAATATCAAGTACAAAACGGTGGTGTGCCCAGGCTCAAGTGGGCTTTTTGGGAAACTTCAAAACGTATTCGGATATAGTGGTCTCTTTTGGCACTTGACTTAAACTTAACTGGCAGAATGTTTCTTGCTTATGGAAAAAAAAACAAACCCTGGTTGTAGTCTTGCAGTCTGCTGCTGCTTTCTTAGTAAACAAGATGTGAAATCTGTCCGTATACTCAGTAGAAATGCAGGGATCAGGACTGGCTGCGATCGTATCAGTATAGGGTGGTTCCGTGAATATTTCTCTGCTTACTCCAGCTTTTTTTGGTCTCCAGTGTCATGTGGTTAGCTTATAGTCTGCAGGCGAGTTTGAGTTATTCTTACTAAAACTGTTCACAGCAGAATTCCCCCCCACCCCTGGAAAGCTGGTGGAGTGTGCTAAGAGGATTGATTGCACTAAAGAGCAAATAAATTAAGATTTGTTGATGTGGGCTGTTGGCAAGAAGGAGAACTCTGAATGCAAGGCCTGTACATTGGGCTTTGGTGCACCATGAATGTCCCGTCTGTAGAACTTCAAGTTTGCTTTGATGGAAAAGCATGAAAACAGTTTGATCTGAAATATCTGCAGTTTGTGTTCATAAATTGTGAATTTTCTATTTCAGTTTATAGATATGCAAATAGAAATGAGTTCTCAGGCAGCTTGGTGTATTTGTAGGCCTTATTTTGCCTGATCAGAAGTTAAGACATCCTCATTCAGGCAGGAATATTTCTGTCTACCCCTAAGAATCTACAGGATGTTTTCCAGTATTGATCAGCAGTTGTGAATGGAATTGGCTGTGGTTTACACTAATCTTTGAGGTGAAATGCCTCTGCTGTTTTAACTTGCTTCATGAGAACTATTGGTGAAAGATGTGCAGGTGTCTCCCTGCTTCACAAGAACTGTTGGTGAAAGATGTACAGGTGTCTCCCTGCTTCTGTGGGATGAAACTGCAAACTCCGTTGCTGCAATCCCTTGCCACTTCCATTTCACATGTGAAAACGTGATGGTGAGACTCTCCTGTCAAGACAAAGTGTGTCAAATAGTGTTCCTTCTGGAAGACCATTCATGATCTTACTACTTGTGTCTAAGGCTGATCTTGACATGACTTCAATATTAAATTACATCTAAACCATTTCTGCACTGTTTAGAGATCTTCCACCTCCCTAAAAGAGCTGGAAAGCAGTAGGCAGCTGTATGGAGATTCTTCACAAGCAGAAGTATCTGCACATACTAGTGAATATATTAGTTCACCATGTGAACACATAGAACACATAGAACATACTAGTGAATATATTAGTTCACCATGTGTTCTATTTGCATTAGCACATGAGACTGTCTTTTTGTCCTGTCTGGTTCATATGGGGCATATCAGGAGTCGTGCCTTATAACTTCTCCAAATACCTATGGAGACTGGAACAGTATTGTTGGTATTGACGTCTTCTGTAGCAGACTGAGTGGCTCATGCTTCTAGGGTCTTCCTTGACATTCATCCTTCAAACGGAAGGGTTGGATGTCTGGTTGTGTGTACTGAGGTTTTGGAACATTTCTGCTTTGGTGAAAGACACCAGAATGTTCTACACTAGAACTACAGTTTCATAAGCTGCACATGGCTCTCTCACGTGTCAGTACATAGATGAGCATATCAACAGGAACAGACAGGATAAACTCTTACACTGTGAAAGTTATATTCTATAGGGAAACTGGGAACACCATGCTGGCAGGGCAGATGCCTTTTGTAACTGCTGGCGGTGAGGTTCCTGGAGGCTTGGGAGCTGGTCAGATGTTGGTCTTCATTATTGGGTAGTGTCATTTGGAGAATGTGTTGTAATGATGCATTTTCTGTTTTCCAGATCAGTGTGCGTGTTACCACCATGGATGCTGAGCTGGAGTTTGCCATCCAGCCCAACACTACAGGGAAACAACTCTTTGATCAGGTAAGTGATGGAGCTGCAGAAGATCTCAAGTTGATAGAAACATTGTGATTCTATTAAGGCAACAGCAAACAATTTTTAAAGGACTTCAAAGATTAAGTGACAGAGTGTGTAATAGCTTCAAGAGAACTCAGAGTGGTAACAAATTATACATTTTTTTCCAAAACTACTGCCTTTTTTTAATCTCCAGTAATATGTTAGGAGGTATTCTTGCCTCTAATGAACTGAATTGGTGGTATAACTCATAGTAATAGTAATTGGAAAGCGGTAGATGTCTGCAGTCATAATTTATAAGACAAGTCAAGTCTTAGGAGGAAGCTAATAGGCTATCTTTGGTTGACTTACTTGCAAGCTTTGTGTAATTGATTTCAAAGAGTAGTTGGTCTCTAAAACAGGAGAGGCTCAGCTGGGTTTCAGATATTGCTGCAACCCTTAAGTGCAGGTGAAGTGATATTCTGTGTTCATGTCAGGCCCTGAGGGAAATCTTCAGAAAAGTTATGTACTGTCATCTTCTGGGTGCTCCAACCTTCCTCTGCGCTCACTGGCTGGGCAAATTTCCTCTTCCTTTGGCCCAACCAGAAGCAGGGAAGCACGTGCAGCTCAATGTTTGAGCAGCTCAAGACAGTCGTCATCAATTGGAGTGGTTGAAACTTTGACAGGCCCTGCTGTGTTTCTCTGCTGTAATCCTCAGGGCCATGGATTTGCTACTTGGAGGAAAATCTGAACAGTAAGTTCATAGCTTAAAGAAAAGCAAAATGAATCTTGGATTAGTGACAAGGTGAAGGACCTGCCAGACCAGATATGTTGGCTGTGGGTGCGGTTCAGTAGCGCTAAGTGTTCTGTGGCCAGCTCTACCTATCTTAATGAAGAGAGAAACTGAAGGGCTGACCCACCCATAGACGTCAGCTATTTTATTTGGGGCTAGGAAACCTAATTTAAAATCTTTTTTTTTTTTTTTAGATGTTTAACCACAAACTGCTACTTTCTTGTACTCAGCTGGATGATTCAACACTAGATATTATATTGCTCGTTGCAGCCCAGCCCTGAAATGGAGGGGAATAGAGCGAGATCCTAGGCTTTACTGAAAGAGCATCCTTTCATAATGAGAAAAGCAGAAAGGCTTTCAGAAAAGTTCTGAGTTGCGGTGTAGTTCTCAGCTGTCTGTGTGTTACTACACAGTAGCTCCTGCATATTTTAGCCCTGTGTGGTCTCAAATCTGACAGTTCTCGATTACTAGAATTGAGAGCTAAGTCCATGTGTGCAGCATGGAACTCCACCACAGTTAGTTCATGGGAGCAGATGCCAAGGAAGCTGAGGTGACATATCCCCAAGTTCATCAAAAGGTGAATTGTTTTTTTGGAGGGGGTGTTCTTTACGTGGATGCTTCCCGTGATTATTTCTTCATGTCTGATTTCTGACATTATCCAAGCAAACCACAAGGCGCTAAGAAGTTGTACGACTGAAGTCAGTAGTATTTTTAATAAACATGGTTTGTTTGTGGTTGGTTTTTTTTTTTAGTCAGCTCTTGACCATCTGCAGCTTTTGCTGAAAACTGACATTGTGGTGGCAGACTTGGGCTTCTGCAACTTCTCTCTGTTTGAGAAGCATCTGGTCATGTTTCCAGTATGGGAACTCTCCATGTCTCAGTAATTGATTTCACTCCTTTGTCTCATGTTCTCAAACAGCTGCACGTTCTCCTCCCTGCAGTGGGTTTCACACAGCACCTGTCTAAACAGAAGTTTTGTTGGGTGGTTTTTTTTTCCCCATAGTAAACACATCACTAAGAGAGAAAACAAATGCTGTTGCAGAACTGAGTTTCTAGGTTGCTAATGTAAATGAGGCAGTGTTTACTTCAGCTAAATTGGGTTGTGGGTGGAGCTGGAGGAGGAAATGTGGTAGGGGAAAAAAAGTGTCTGAAGCTAGCTGTTACGCATTTGTGATTTCTAAAAAGCCCAGGGGACACCATGTCTTTATACTGTCCATCTATCACAGTCACTGGAATAAGAACTAAACTGCCAGATGAACTAAACAGAGGGGACACCATGTCTTTATACTGTCCATCTGCCACAGTCAGTGGAATAAGAACTAAACTGTCTTCTACTGTCTAACACACAAGATTTCCTTGTGGAGGTGGTGATGTTGGTTCCTGGTAGGGCTTGATACTGAAATATATGTCCACCAGCAGATGTCCAGGCTTTGGCCAAATGATTCATCAAAGACTGAACAGTGCAGGGTGGTGGTAGTGTGGTGCCACCACAGGAAGACTAACCCTCTGCCAGGGCTTGAGGGCGTTGTGAGCAGTAAGGGAAGGGAGTTGGCAGTAGATGTGGGGATGTTAAAAGTCTTCCACCTCTAGCTTAAGTAAGGAGCTTTGGAGGCTGCTGCTGTGCGAGTGGTTGAGGAGCCTAATCCCAGCTTCTCTTGCTGCCCTGCAATCTAATTGTTGGCCCTTTACAATTAAGGAAGCTAATTGCAAAGGAGGTAGCTATTCAGCTCCTGCCACAATGAGAAACATTTCATCTTGGTCTCTCCATGCAGATATGCATCAGACTGTTGTCTGGTTTGTTTTTACATTTCATCTTGGTCTCTCCATGCAGATATACATCAGACTGTTGTCTGTTGTTTTTTTTAATGGGAAATTGAAGGTTTTGTTTCTATTGCAAAAGAGACTTTGTAGCAGATTTGCACATTAAGGAAAGCAAGTACTTCTTGTATAAGGACATGCTCGAACAGATGATTGATCTTTGCATAATGAACTAATTGATTACCAAACTAAAACATGAGAGCCTCTAGTGAGCTGACAGCAGATACTAAGCTTGCTCCCTTTAGCATGGGGATGGGGCTTTGCATATACTGTCACCTGGCAGATATCCAGCGTGTCTCCAATGGCTGAGCTGTTGGTGTGGATTAGTTCCTGTAAAGAGACAGTCTGGGCTGTTCTCCCCGCTGACGGGGACCAAGCAGTGACTGCTGTCTGTTTGCTCTGTCCCAAGGTGGTCTTGGGTCCCATGATGGGCTGGGTAGAAACAAGGTTATGGCTGTTCACTTTCTAGCTCCCTTCATGTTCTGCTCTTGGAATTGCTAATCTAGTATTTTCTGCATGATGCTGGTTCTGAAAAAGGAGCTGCTTTCATCAGTGCTTTTTTGAGGGAGGGGAGGGTTCCTCTACAAAGCAAACTTAGGGTTTTGCTGTTGCAGCACATTGACTTTCTGGTGTGAAATCTGACTTTTGACTCTTTCACAGAAAAAAATTAAGATACCCTGCATGTTTTTGCCCTAGAGTGCCCTTTCACTTTGAGCTGTTGGTTCTGAGTTAAGCAAAAAGTAAGCTGCTGAGCGTTACCAAGTTTTTTGGCTGCACAGCTACCTCGGTGCATGCTCCTGGCTCTGTTCGGTAACATTTAGGCAAGTATTTGTTTCCACCTGTTGTGTATAAAGGTAGATAAATACATTTGTTATACCACACATAATTCTGACCTCCTCTGAACAGGATTCAGAAGACTTTTGGAAAGCTTGTTTATAGGTAGAACAGTGAGTCTAAAGTTCCATAGTAATAATAAGTGAATGGGCTTGAGGTAGAAATGTTCCTGTCTCCCTCTTTCCTGCTTGCTTCAATTTCAAAGCAATTTTTGTAGTGACAGAACAATGCAGATGTTTCACTGCTCTGTTGGAAAATGCCTTCTCCCCAAAGTAGCTGCCTGTAGAAATATCACTGAGCTGTGAAACGGTGCAGTAACACTGTGATTTAATCTCAAGATCTCTCTATAACACCCCATCCCCATGGCTTGTAACTGTACAGTTTAAATAGCTTAAGCTTGTGTGCACAGGTAAAACCTGGATTAATGGAGACAGGAGGACTGTACTGTCCGTATTCTGCAGCTTTGTTTTTGTACCTCTTTGCTTTTGAACCTTTTAGCATCAGCCACTGAACTCCAGTGCTCACTGCCTCTGACAAAACCAATAACTGCTCCCATTCCTCAGCTGCTAGCGATGGATTAGAAGAGCTGGAGGATGGGCTGTGCCTGTCAGGGGTGCTGCTTATCCCACAGGCCTGATTACCTTGAAATGCTGCTTTCCTGGGGGTGCAGAGCACAGGCTCTGCAACAGCGATAGCTGCTTGTTTTCCTCTTTTGACCCTTTTCTGTATCAGACTGAAGCGCAGCTGGACTGGAGACAGAGCATTGCTTTGCTTTGTGTATCTCCCACACACGGAAGATGTGTAAAGAACCAGTCTGGTAAAACTGCTCAGCTCTTACTGCAGTGGATAGTTTTGAAGTTGTGTCCCTCCAATCTCCCAGGATAGTTTTGAAGTTGTGTCCCTCCAATCTTTTTCTCCCCCTTCAAACTTCCTTTTTCTGGGTAAATTTTCTAGCTTAAATCGTCAGATTTTGGCCCATTGAGGGGGTGAGGGAGGGCTAGCCTGTGCCTTGGACAGGGAGAGAGGTAACTAAATGGCTTGCTGAAAGTGCTCCACAGCTGGCTGCTTCCATGGAAATGCCCTGGTGCAGTGGACACTGCATTTCACAGGCTCCTCAGGCAGCCTGCGCACAGATTACTCACAAAATCCTCAACTGCTTTGACTTCTGTGGTATGAAAACATACTCCCTTCTTCCATGTCCCCCACACGCTGCATGAGGCAGCTTCTCAGATGCCTTGTTTCTGATCGCTTCTGACCTTGGGATCCTGCTGGCACCTTGTTCTTTCTTTCATTCCCCTTCAGAGCCCCTTATTCCTTCTAGTCTCTGGTAGAGGAGTCTTAGCTGTCTGTTGGGTGGTAAATGCAGTCGATGGCCATTTGACAGATCTTACATCAGGATCTTTTTAACAATGAGTTGTGGTTACTAAACTGCTCAGTCAGTACTTCCCCAACCTAAAATGAACTCTATTTCTCCAGTTTAGAACAGAATTGCTTCTCGGTTATGTGCTTAGTGTTCTCTGAGCCTGTGGCTCTGACCTTCTGTCCTTTCAGTGCTGACTTTTGGACATTGCGAAGTCCAGGAGATGGTGGCTTCAGCATGCCACACCAGAGTAAGTCTTTAGAGTAACCAAATGTACCCAGTCTCATTAAAGGTGATTTCTGCCCAGTTAAGAGCCATGAAGCCAAGTCACAGGTTAAGAGGAAATGTGACATTAAAAAAAATTGTAGTATTTGTCACTTCACATCTTGAAAGAATGTGATTAACCTTCCTGGGAGGCTTTTCCTTAGTTTCCTGAGCTTTTGGGATCAAAACTAACCTTGTAATAGAAAAGTGCACTCAGCTATGGGTTAAAATTGTAACAATAAGCATCTCTGCTCACTCTAAACCTAATCATTGATGCTGTGTGTTATGGTCAGCACTGAGCCTAATATGTAATGGTGTGGGGGATCCTACATATTTCATTAAGAGCCAGAAATCCTGAGATTCTGAGTTCATGTGCCCTGCCCTGGCTTGCTTATCTGCTGCAGTGAGTTTAATGATTTTTTTTTTTGGAGCACCAGTTTGTCAGCCTCTTCTTTAGTGGTTGCTGAAGCTTACAACACAGGCTGGCCAAATCCCTCTAGACTTGATAATTCCAGCTGAGTTGAGCTGTGTCTGGAACAAAAATGGCTAGTCTCTCTTGGCCTCTAAACTAAGCTGTGTGAGGAGGGAGACTGTAGAGAAGCCTTTAGCCTTGGTAAGGTCCTACCTCGTAGTGTTTAAATACCTAGGAAACTGGTCTGGAGCACTTGATCCAGTAGATGAATGTGCTGAACCAAAAACTTACTATGGCAGTTTCATGGTAGAAAGCAGCAAGTCTTGGGACAGTGGCCGGTTCCTCCAGCAAAGCCCAGAGCTCTTATTTGTGTAAGGAAGGCTTGTGGTTGAGCGGTATGGAAATGTGTCTCAGATTTCACAGGAATATGTGGAAACTTGCTGGCTTTTATAAAAGCAGTAGTCCAACCAAAAATGGACTGCTTGTTGCTAATGAGGTCAATGGCAAACTGTAATAAGCTTAAAAACACAAAGACGATCCTGTCATTTAGCACTTTTGGCTTTTTAGTGTTTTGAAAAGGAAAGTTAGAAATATATCCATCAGCCAAACAGAAAGGGAAGAGTTGGATATTTATGGTTGTAGATGGAGCTCATCTTGGGTGTGAAGTTGAGAGGACCTGGAGGACTGTTCTAGGTCATTTTGGACTCTGGCATATGAAACTGCAGATAATGGCACCAATTCAGAGCTGCTCCTGCAATAATGTTTGTTAATGGTTTTCTCTCAGAAACACTTGACGTTCCTGTCGCAGAGAGGGAGAGGGGCCCACTTCATCTTTAACTGGGGCAGCAGGTGAGGTTCAGGACAGATTTATGCTGTGGGATAGCCTGGGATGTTTTGGCCTTTGGCTTAGGAGCTAGGTTTGAGTGGAATGTCTTCTCTGCTTACATCCTTTGGTCTTGCCGATGTGTAGATAGTGCTTTCATGCAGGATCCATGCTTGTTTGCCAGTGTGGTGGTGTATTTGCTGGGCTGAGAATGAGGGCAGTCCTCAAGCATCATCTTGATACTAAAATGTACATTTAAGAGGCTGCTTATGGCTCTCTGTCTGCTGTGGGTCAAGCACTCAATGGCAAGAGCATAGTTTGGAGGGAGATCGGTGAGTGCTGAGGAGAATGACAGGAGGAGTCACGCAGACCTGGAAAAATGTGGATTATGGAGAAGTGAGAGAGAAGGTTACCTGGAAGACCTTGTGTTTTCTGAACAGATGTAAAAAAAAAGAAATTGTACTACTGTGTGCTTAGACTGTCTGCAGAAGGTAAAGGGAGAGTCACCAGAAATGCACCTTTCCCCTGAGGTGATATTACTTACTAAGTGGAATTTTAGGCTAATGGGTACTTGATGAAGAGCTTTGTTTTGGCTGTTCAAGGTACCCTGGGACAGCTGAATTCTAAGGCTGCTGTAATCTTTGGTCAGTTGTAAACTAAGCCTTGTACTGCAGGCTAAACAGGACCTGGGGACTGACATAGTGTTCTCCCTGGCAGGAAGAAAAGATGTGTCAATTTTAGGTATTTAAGTATAGTGGTGTGTGTTAAGCAGTAGTCTGTATTCTCCTGTCCCGTGTGCCAGCCCTTCTCCATCCTCAGCTGCTGCCAGTAACTCCTTGCTTTTTGGAATATCTCACAGTAGCTCTACACCCCCAGACATCCCTGAGCTGTGAATTGCCAGCCAGGCTCCTCGCAGCTGTGGAAAGCCAATTCTTCATGCTTTTTTCCCCTTTCTAAATGGAACTAAATAACCTTCTAAAGCTGTGTTGGGAAGGAGGGAGGAGGACTATCTCCCCCCTGGCCTTGGTTCAGCAGCAGCTTGGGGGTGTGATGTTGTGTGCTGGGCTGTCCCTTGTTGTCCCGGCTATTGCTGTGCAGAATTCTGCTGTGGAATAAAAGTGCTTTTGTGCGGGGTCTTTCAGTTCCTTGCTGGCACCCGGCAGTGTTGAATTCCCAGGCAGCAAGCTGCTGACAAATGGAAGTGAAGCAAGCAGACACATGCAGCAAGAGGGGGGAGCTTCCATCCCATTCACATGTTAATGCTGCCAAGAACAGAGCTTTCCTTAGGCTCTAGGATGGGCATTTCTTCCTCTCCTGCCACCACGTCCTTTCAGTGCACCCCACAAACTCTGATTCTGCTCCTGCTGAAGCTTGTGTGCATCCTACTACGTGATACACACCAGTGAAGGCTTATCTGCCCCATGTTCCCATGTTTGCAGGGGCTTTAGGGCAGCTCTCCAGTCCGTGGTCCAGTGAGAACAGGCTGAATCATTACGTGGGATGATGCATATAGATGACATGACCGTGCGTAGGTTTTGTCTCTGTGGGTGCCTGTGCCGAAAGCTGCAGTGGGTTTTGGGGTTTGAGAGGAACTAGGGCCCTAACACTGCTCTTGAAAGGGCAGAAGAAATGTCTGACCCAAGCCCTAAAGAATCTTAACTAGCAATGTGTCTGTGGGGAACCTCTGTCCTTGCCTTTGGTGTCTTGCCAAAGCTAGAGACCACATCAGAAGGGAACAGAGTGCATCCTTAGGATTCTACGAGGAAGTGATTTAAAAGGAAGCAGGCATTTAGGCAGAAATCATAAAACACAGGACAGGGCAGTACGAAATTACCTCAGCTTTCCTGGCAGGGGACACACCGTGATCGGGCAGTTTTCCCAGGGCCAGGCTCATCCCCTGCTCTCCAGTTGAGTTCCTCTGAAGGAGGGGAGCTGAGGGCAAGCCCGAGGGGTGGGTGGTGTGTAAAAGCAGCGTACAGTGTCCTACTCTAGGTACAGTGTTGACCTAAAGACAACTGTCTTTTCCCTTCCCTTGTCTAGCAGTGGAGGTGATGGGTAAGCCCTTTGTTTGCTGGTATCGGAACAACTTCTGGGGGGTTCAGGAGAGATGTGGGGGAACTTCAGTTTCTAGACTCACTGCACCCTGTGGCACGTCCCAGACTTGCCAGGGCACAAAGCTGTGAACGCTGGTGCTAGTGAACAGGCTTAATCAAGAAACCTCCCCCTCCTTTTTGCCAGCAGTAGCATTATCCTGCAGTAGTCTTGCCCCCCCATGAGGCTCTTGTCTCTTGTTGCAGTATGTCCTTAAAGCCTTCTTAACTCTTATTTACACAGCACCCATGGTGTGGTGGGGAAATGACTCAGGAGAGAGCTTACGTAGAGATGTACTGAACTTCTGTGGTGGCCCTTTGTCGTGGTACAAGGGACAGCATATCGATGTACCCACTGTCGTAATTCTTAATGGTGCCTCTCATTAAAGAGCTGTGTGAAAGCCCTCTCCACAGCTATCAGTGGAGCAGAATACAAATCTTGAACCAGCACAGCCTAGCAGGGTGATTCATGGCTCACCCAGGAGTAGTACGTCTGCATGATAAGTGAGGGGTGTACCTGAAAATGGAGCTGCCTTTTTGATTCCGGGCAGCTATTAGACCTGTCAGACCTGTTGCATCGTATTTGGGCTATACATGTTGGCTTATAAGTAGCTGAGGAAAACAGTATCCTAGCTGTTGTTTATAAATCACAACAAGCCTTAAAGAGAGGAGGGAGAGGGAAGAATACAATGCATCTCCCACTTAAGACCCCTGAGATGCCCTGTCATCTGTGTATGTGCACCATGGCTAGGGCAGAAGGCTAGGACACTAGTCATGGTCATGTTCATCTGACCTTACCTCTAACATGTTCTGTTCCACCAAGTGAGATCAGCCCATCTGATTGGGGCTCTTGCTAATCATCTTTCTTCCAGGTCGTCAAGACGATTGGTCTAAGGGAGGTCTGGTTCTTTGGACTTCAGTATCAGGACACCAAGGGCTTCTCCACGTGGCTGAAACTGAACAAAAAGGTATGTTTGCTCCAAGGTTTCACTTGTCCTGGCAAATTCAGTCTCTGTATTTCTGTCAGAGATCTGTTCTTGCCTCTCTACACACCTAAAGTACTGCAGGATTAGGGAATTGGGGTTACCTTCCTTCAGTTCACACACCCCTTCCCCAAGGTACAAGGAGTTGCGGTGTCTGACCTGCTCCTCCTGCATCTAGTCCTGTTTGTTATCCAGGCAGATCCATTACCCTTTCCAGTAACACACTGCTGTGCTGCTCATGTGAGCATCTTGGGTGGAAAGAAACCTGGAAAGTAACTTACCTAGCACTGATTGTGACTACTGGCTTATCATAAACCCTCTGGGGAGAGGTGATGAGATATTTAGCGGTATGGAATTGAAAATTCTTGCTTTTCTGCCCACTCATTTCTGCATTGGAAAGGAGACTTTTTTTTTTTTTCTTTTCCTAATGTATGCTTGTTTTCCTGTTCATAAACCTGCCCCTCATTCCCTTGGTGTGTAGGCTATAAAATCCAATAACTCTGTTCCAGGTAACAGCACAGGATGTACGCAAAGAAACCCCCCTGCTTTTCAAATTCCGTGCCAAGTTCTACCCGGAGGATGTGGCAGAAGAGCTGATCCAGGACATCACGCAGCGCCTTTTCTTCCTTCAAGTGAAAGAGGCAATTCTGAATGATGACATTTATTGCCCTCCAGAAACAGCTGTCCTTCTGGCTTCTTATGCCGTCCAGTCAAAATACGGAGACTTCAACAAAGAGGCGCACAAGTCTGGCTACCTTGCTAACGACAAACTGCTCCCACAGAGGCAAGTGAATCTGGGTAGTCATAGAACTCCTTTGCCTTTAGGGGTTTGGGATTTACTTTATTTTTGGGTGGGATGGGGTGTATCTTGTTTGTAACATTCCGAATAAAATAAAGCCTCACTCCTCTCTGAGGATTGGGATTAGTGTTCACTTAATCAGAGGTTTTAATCTTAAACATTTTACTGCTACTGAAGAAACTCTAGTCAGAAATAGTGAAAACTGCTCCAAAACAAAAAAAAAATGAAATGCTACAAGGAAAAGCACAACTGTATACAACTTGTCATTTGTCAAACATCTGAATACTGACCAGTGTGTCTCTAGCCTTATAATAAAACTATTTCCTGAAATATTTTTGTGGGGGAACTGTGATACCAATGGAGTATTTAATGAAATGTTGTTCAAGAGTTATGTGACTGTGTAGATAAATGCAGTGGCTGGTCTCAAATGTCCCGTGCTGTTTCTAGAGTTCTGGAGCAGCACAAACTTAACAAGGACCAGTGGGAGGAGAGGATCCAGGTGTGGCACGAGGAACATCGAGGAATGATTAGGTAAGGGATGCAGTGTGAAACTGCTCTATTTAAAGTAGTGTGATATATGCTAGTGTATAGTGTATGAATGCATCAGGATAAACTGATGTTCTTCAGGTTATTCTGCTCAGAATAACTAAGTTGACCCATCTCTGCCCTTGCCTACTCCACCTGAGCTGGCTGTTCTTAGTAAAACAAAACTGATTTTTGCAGAGTATATGTGTTATTACCTACTAGGGTGATGCTTGGAACCTTTGCCAGCTTGTTGCTGCTCTGCCCATTTAGAAGCACCTTCTTGCTCTAATTGCTTATAGACTCAAAAAGGAATATCTGCTTTCTTTTTGCATGCTGCAGAGAAGATGCTGTCTTGGAATACCTGAAAATTGCACAGGATCTGGAAATGTATGGTGTGAACTACTTCAACATTAAGAACAAGAAGGGCTCTGAACTCTGGCTAGGTGTAGATGCTCTTGGACTCAACATTTATGAGCAGAATGACAGGTAATAAACCCCCTCTCCTCATTATTGCCTTCAGCTCCTTTCCAGTATAAAGGCATTCAAAATTTATCTTTTCTGAAACTCATTCTCTAACTAAACCCTACAATATCTATATCTTTCTTGGCTGTGTTTCTGACACTGCCAGAATGATTCATAAAATGTGCTGCTTTGGACCAAAAAAATACAAGAAACTGGCAAATCCTATCAAGCTAGTTTTACTTGTATCCCTAATCTTCCTGCTGCAGGTGCATTCTCCAGTTCTGTTTTCCATTTAAAAAGAAAAGTGGGATTGAAATCATTCACATGACTACTCTTATTTGCTGATCCCATTTAACATAAGAGTATTGAAATATGAGGGCAGATTTGGTAGAATTTTAAGTTTTATATTGTAAGTCAAGAATCTAGAATGACTTGGGGCTCTTATTTCCTTGTGCTTTCCATTTCTGCAGGCTAACACCGAAAATTGGATTCCCTTGGAGTGAGATCAGAAATATCTCATTCAATGACAAGAAATTTGTTATCAAGCCTATTGACAAGAAAGCACCAGTAAGAAACAACATTCAAATTAAGCTTTTGGTTTCTTAGCTGAATTATCTCTTTTTTTTTTTTCATTGCACACAATCTGATCTGTGCAGAATGGGTCTATTGGCAACAAGGTGATAGTTGGGATTTGTTTCTGGCTTGGAGGGTGGAAATTTGTTCAGTAGAACCTTAAGCTGTTCAGTGTCAGGGAGAAACTCTTTGCTTGGGGTTTCTGATTCTTCTAAGGTGGTTCAGATTCTTTGATAATACAATTGGGGATCTGAAGCACCTCTGTTAACTGTGAGTGCTTCCTTTGCAGCCTGTTGGCTTTAGTAGTGTATGGGATGGTCTGCTGCAGTTTTTCACCTTACTTGAAGCTGAAACTTCAGGTCATTTTGTAGGGTATGCTGGGAAGGTTCTTTTTTTCTTGCAAATTTTTAATGCACATAACTGGTTTCATTTTTAAGGCTTATTAATTTCCTGTGTCAGCTGATACATTCTGTTCTTCTGGTCATTCTTGTTACATTGCTACTTGGAAGCATTTCCCTGCTGCTGTTGCTTTGTCTTAAATTTAATTTAAAATTTAAATCAATTTAGAGACAAACTCTTTTGTTTTAGCAGAACAAACTTATTTATCCATTGGACATAATGCTTAACACACTTTCTGGCATCAGACAAAACATTACACTTGATGTGGCCGGCCAGGCTGTTGCATTAAATAACAAATTGGGAAGAAAGGTGGGAGAAGTGATAGTTTCAGTGTGCCTGGTAAACCAGTCCTGATGGTTTTGTAAAGACACAGTGGAGTGAGTTGCTGTGTACTGTGTGTGCTAGGGATGCTTTACAGTGAAACACAGCACATCGGGCACATCTGCCCTGTGTGTATTTGTTAGCTTAAAGTTAATTCCTAGGAGATAGATGTCTAACTACCACCGCTGATGAATTAGATAGCGTTAAGAAAAGCTGGCTAGCAATTCTAGAAAGCTTAGGGTCTTGGAGCGTGTTGCATGCACAGGGAGCTGCTTATGCTGAAAGAACAGATTTAATGCTGCCTTTTTCTTGTCCCAAGGATTTTGTATTCTACGCCCCACGGTTACGGATTAACAAACGGATCTTGGCACTTTGCATGGGGAACCATGAGCTCTACATGCGCAGACGTAAACCAGATACCATTGAGGTGCAGCAGATGAAAGCACAGGCTCGGGAAGAGAAGCATCAGAAACAGATGGAGAGGTAGGGTTCTGAGTAACCTGGGCTTGGTGGGGCACTGCACAATAGCATCATGTGCTGGATAAATCTCTGGCAGCACCTTAGTCTGCTTGAGCCAAGAATTGAACAGGTTGCTTTCTGCTTCAGTAGATCTAATGGGATGATGGAAACAGCACTCATCAAATGTGACCCACCATCAATTTCTTAGAGTTAAAGATTTGCCTGCCTATTTGATGGGACTAATACGGATCTTGATATAAGGAGACTTCCCTTGTAACGTTGCTATTATGAACGTGCCATTTAATTCCAGCAGAGCTTTTTCTTTCTACACTTCTATAAAGGGGCAGGTCTGGAGTAAAACTCATCAGCCGAGTGCTCTAGTGCCTATCCCTTGTGTTCACTAGGAAGCTCTCCAATCTGAGTAATTGTTAATTTGAAATCGCATTATGACTTCCCCCTCATCAGAGCCCTGTTGGAGAATGAGAAGAAGAAGAGGGAGTTGGCAGAAAAGGAGAAGGAGAAGATTGAACGTGAGAAGGAGGAGCTAATGGAGAGGCTCAAGCAAATTGAGGAGCAAACCAAGAAAGCTCAGCAAGGTAATATGAAATGTTCCAGTATTTCCTTAAATACATAGCCTGAGTGAGAAGGGTTCAAGTGGTAAAGCTGTGAGCATCTCTGAGCTATTTGGCTTTCCAGCATTGTGTGCTAACTGGTGCTGAAGGCCCTGATTTAGCCTTCTGAAGCCGAATTTAAGCCCTCCATATGCAGCTGCTGAAATAGGACTTGCGTTAAAGAGATGGGTGGTGGCCAAGATGCCTCTCTGGCAGCGAGAGCATCTTGCAGTTGTCCATGTGCTGGCTGGAAGCTTTATCCCAGCACGTCTGGAGAAGAGGGAATCAAAGCGTAGCAGGGGTCACACTGGCCAGTACTCTGCTGTGGTTACTGTCTAATTGCTTGGCCAGTGTCAGAGTGTGGTGCTGTATGCTTTTCTACAAATCAATCAGGCAAATAATCTGGCTTGGAACAGGCCTGGCTCTTAATCTTCCAGCTCCAGTTACAATGTGAGAGGAAAGGGGACAGTTGCTTTTCATCTGTCCTTTACCTGTCCCTCTGAAAGAAAACCCTCCTCCAGCACATAGGTGTAAGAGCACCTTCCTCTTCTCCTGCCATTCTTTACTTGATCTCTCTTCAAACGCGCTCCTCTATTCCTTCAGAACTGGAAGAACAGACCCGCAGAGCTATGGAGCTGGAACAGGAGAGAAAACGAGCTCAGGAGGAAGCAGAGAAGCTGGCTAAGGAACGTAGAGAAGCAGAAGAGGCAAAGGAGGCCCTATTGAGAGCATCCCATGATCAACAGAAGACCCAGGAACAGCTGGTAAGTGGGTGAGCTGAAAATTGGATAGGGAAAATAGTGTCAGGGTAGGCATCTAAGCTCTTAAAACAAACTAGGCTATGAATATAGTGAGGAAGGACAGTTTGGTTCTTCAGTTTCTGGGATACTGTTTTTATTCAGGACTTGAACTAAATGCTTCATTTAGCAAGTGCTTTGGTTTTGTCCCCATTAAAAGCCTTTCTTTTGCAGGCTGCTGAGATGGCAGAACTCACAGCCAGGATCACGCAGCTGGAGCTGGCCAGGCAGAAGAAAGAGAGTGAGGCCCAGGAGTGGCAACAGAAGGTAAAGCAGAATCTGAGCAAATGGCAGTACTTTTTTTAGGAGTTGCACTTCATTCTGTGTTGAGCTTGAGGATGTTGTAAATACCCAGCTTTGCTTTTCTTGGTGGAATGAATGCCCTGGTCAAAATATTTCTACTTGGACTTAGAATAATTAGACCTGTAGCCTGTTTTCCATTTATTTATAACCACTCTTCAAATTTCTGCAGTGTTAGCCAGCAGAAAGTTTTGCAAATGGTTGTGGCTGAGTAGCTTTGGAACATAGTACTTCAGTGTGCGAGGTTTCCTGTAATAAGCTCTGAGTAGCGCTTCTGTGGGAAGTCTCTCAGTATAATCCCGACTAACTCACTGTGGCATGGCCCCACTGCAGGCTCAGATGGTGCAGGAGGACCTAGAAAAGACCAAAGAGGAGCTGAAGACTGCCATGAGCACCCCTCACGTCACTGAACCCATGCATGCTGAGAATGAGCATGATGATGAGCAGGACGAGAACGCGGCAGAAGCCAGTGCTGAGCTGCGGTCAGAGGCCACCATCAAGGACCGCAGCGAGGAGCAGCGCACCACTGAAGCAGAGAAGAACGAACGGGTCCAGAAACACTTGAAGGTAAGAAGTTGGTGGCAGAGAAGGGTGTGTTGTCTGGGTGCTGCTTCTATTCTTCTTGCCCTTAATTGAGGCAGGGAGGTATTAAAAAAAAAAAAAGAGGTGGGCTGGGCAAAGAGGGATGATAGTGATCTTGCCAGATACTGCTTAACCATTGAGTAGAGAGCTAGATAGATCTTGTCTCCTGGTGTTTGCCTTCCATTTCACTGGAAGTAGTGAAGTTTAAAAAAAAAAAAAAAAAAGGGGTGGGATGGGGAAAGAGGGATGATCGTGATCTTGCGAGATACTGCTTAACCATTGAGCAGAGAGCTAGATAGATCTTGTCTCCTGGTGTTTGCCTTCCATTTCACTGGAAGTAGTGAAGTATTTTCAAGCAGTGCCAAAAAGCAGCATCTGTCACGCATGGTGTGCTTGTGTGAGTCTTGCCAGCCACCTGCCAGCTGTTCGTAGCCCTGGCTGCAGTGAATCGGAGAACTTGGTCCAGTTCCTATCAAACAGCTGTCTGTAGCTGTCTTGTCTGACAGGGTTGTGTTACAAAACCCTGGAAGCAGCCCTCTAGGGCTCAACATGAGGGGATCTCCTTTTTATAAGGAGCTCCAGTGTTCTGGTGTTGACTTTTTCCAAGCATTTTGTTACAGTGCCTGCTACCTTCCTGACTTGTACCAGGCTTTGTGTGTTCTGCATCATGCTGTGGTGGTTATGCACAGGCAGAGTGACAGAGATGCACTTTTATCTTCTGCATCAAGTTTCTTTTGTGATAGAAGGCTAGTAATTGTACAGATTCTGCAAGATGTTCCTATTGTCTTTAGGGAACCCTCCATTTTTTCTGAAGTACATTGGAGAGTCTTTCTTGCTGTGCTAGACAAAGATGGATAGGGTGACCAACTGCCTGATGTTTTCTACCTTCAAATGTTAGGGAAAAACATCAACAAGTTCCACAGAACCACAGAATCGTTTTGTTTGGAAGGGATCTCTTAAGATCATCTGGTCTCACTTCCTAGCTCTAGCAGGGTCAGGTAAAGCAGGTTGCCCAGAACTGTCAATATTCGGGTTTATCCGTTTCCTGTCTCCATGGATACTGAATTTTTTAGGAGGTTCAGCAAGGAACCTCCTTGTTCAACCTTGAGTCTCTGGCACGTGCTAACCCATTGCTATCTGCTTCTCCTTCTCCAAAGGCTCTTTCCTCAGAGCTGGCAAACGCTCGGGATGAAACCAAGAAGACAGCCAACGATATGATCCACGCTGAGAACATGCGTCTAGGCCGAGACAAGTACAAGACCCTCCGTCAGATCCGGCAGGGCAACACCAAGCAGCGCATCGATGAGTTTGAGTCCATGTAAACTCTCCCCCCAGCACCTGCAGTCCTGCACTCTCTTCTCCCCTCTTTCCCATCCTCTCCCATCATTCACTCGTAATCGTGCTACGCTGGAACCACTACAGAAGAGTGACCATGGTCTTATTTATCGAGTTTTGGGCAAACGCTGGAGTTAAGCAACAGGAGAAAAAAAAAAAAGAATAGTATTTACATCTTCTTGGGGTGGCTTGGGAAAGCAAACATGTATTGGGGCAAATCTGAAATTGTTTGGCTTTGGATAAAGTCTCGCTGCATTTAGTTTTGTATTGCTTACTGAAGTGGCTGTGGTGCTGTCCTCTCCTCTGGGGTGGGGAGGCCAGCAGATACTTTTGCTGACTTAAGTACAGTAAAGTGCTAACGGTTTGACACTGTGCCTTCCTACTAACTTACGCAAGCTTCAGTATTAAGCTTAGTAGCCAGGGTCTGAATTTCTGACTTAATACAGGGTCTGAATCATGTAGTTGAGAAGACGAGGCTGGAGCTTAGGAAGAAGGGTTGGAGGTAAATTGTGGACTTTCGTTCTCAAAGACCAAAGCTTTTGTCCTTCAAACATAAGCAGACCAAACAGATACTGTGGCGTTCCTGCTGGTGTTACCTTTTGTTGTTTAATGATGGGATTTTGAATTTCCGAGTCACGAGGCAGCCTTTGGAATATTTCCACTGACACAGTGGTGGTTTGGAGCCTCGACTTCTCTGCTTTCCAGAAGTTTTGTCTCTGGTAAATGGCTGTGTTCGCTGTCATTTATCTGACTTGAATGTAACCAGTGAGGCAGAGATAGCTAAAGAGCCCTGCCTTCCTTTTTGGGTTTGCCAGTGGAAACCTAAAGGGGTAGGTAGACATCTAAAAGACTAAAAATTCCTGCAACTGTATTTTCCCTTGCTGAACCAGTACATTTCTAGTCATGTGAATAGGATTTCAGGTTTTTCCATAAGAGGCCTTTTTAGCACATAGTCATTGGTGCCTTATGACTGTGTATAGATCTACTGTAGCTCAGATGTCTTTAGTTTAAACTAGATGCAATCATAAAAAGTGATCAGCAGCTGGGGACCAAAAACTACTCTTGTATCTGGGTCACGTACAAGACACTGCATCTGTCTTCCTGGCCTCGAGCAGCATTTGAGGGGAGAGGATCCTGAGATATTTCTCCAATTGCTGCCTTAATGCTCACTAGCTTTCTGCCAGATCCCTGGCTCAAGTGCTTTTCCTTCCCTGGAAGGATGCTTTGCCCCTTTGTAGCTTTGAGAACAGAAGGCTCTGTCTCTTAGAAATGGGACACTAGTGGTTGTGAGACTGGTCCTGAGAGCCATTTGTACCAGTTGTTGTAATACCCATCACCTCCTGTCTTCCGAGCTGTCCATGCTGTAGCTACCAGGAATCCTCCCCCCATTTCTGGGGAAGAAACAGCCATTTATGCTCAGGGTTGAATTGGATTTTGCCTTGATCCTTCGTAGAAGGAAATGTTTAACCTTCAGAAGAGGCCTCTTAAAAATGGATTCCACCCTACAGTGGAGTCCTCCTTTGCTTTGCCCTCCTTGGATTAGCCTGTCCCTACAGGAAGTCATTGGGCTACTTTGTCATTTATTTTCTTACCTAGCATGATCCTAAATCTTGTGACTTTCTCAGTTTTGTGGATTCCCCCTTTGTATGGGTCACTGCTAGTGGTGGTAAAATTAAAATACCTGAATGCTCGAGCATCGTCAGCTCCCCGCTCTGTGCCAAAAAAAATGTTCATGATAGTGTTAATAAACTGCAGTATTTCCCCAAGAATTCCTTGGGCTGCTGGAACAAACCTTACCAGGGCTGTATTATTTTCTTTTTTGGGAGCAATACCAGTCTGTGGAGATCCACACAAATACCAACCAGCCAACCTCTGTTAGGAGCGTAGCTCAACGTGTTGCTTCTAAACATCCAGATAAGTCACGTGGGAGGCCCCTTCTCTCCCCTGGACACGTCTGCTTTTGGGGGACACGACACGGTAGGCTTTTGGTTGGCCAAAAATGACGTGCCTCAGTACTTAGGAAGTCCCAAATGGAAGATTACAGTTAAATTTGTCAGAATTGATATTGTGCATTTCTACACTGAAGGGTTATTGGCACTGGCTCCACGTGAGTCTCATTACTGGGGGAACAGACAACCTTTACACTTCTGTTTTTGGTGCTTTAAAGCTGGTTCTCAGCACTTCTGCTCTGTCTGTGGCAACTATTGATGCATTTTTGGGGGGAGAAAAGCCTTTATTATATTTTAACAATTTCCTAATGAGCTGATGTATGGTGCCTGGATACATGTTCAAATAATAAACCAGTAAACCTTTTCTGCTTTGATGGGTCACACAACACTGCTGAGCTCATGTATTATGATGCAGGCATGACTTATGTTTATAGTGTTGGTATTTTTTTAATCGTTCTAATTCCAAATGGTCCAATATAGGAATAGAACGGCTTGTGCCAGTGAGTCCACCTAACTCTTTGTAGTTGTTTCAGCCCTGCCTTCTTCTTAACCAGTATTATATTCCAGTGGTATCTAATGATATTTGATTTCAATACTTCTAGCTATGCACAATTAGAAAATATTAGTCCTGGGACAGAGGATATGTTTATGGTCCTCCTTCCCTTGGAAATGTATACTGTATTGTAAAGAAATGATATTTTGCAAAAAAACTAATGTAAGAAGCTTTCAGTATTAAGGTGAGATTTGTAGACACTTTTTTTTTATTTGTTAGAGTACAGTGAATTGTTCTTTCTCTCCGTGTTCCAGTTTAATTGGATAACTGCTCCTCTAGGGGGGTGGGGGGAGGGAAGTACTTTATCAAACGTGGGCCTGGCTTGTTTTTCTTGTTTTATTTTTTGTTACTGTAAATTATGGTGAGGTTTTTTTGACCAGTCTTTTTACTGGATTGTAATAAAACATCAATTCTTAAGGTGATGGAGTAGTTCATGGGTCCATGTACTTATCTGTAGAGAGAACCTTGATATAAAGGCATTTGTTTTTCCTGTTTGGAGGAGTTGTTAAAATCCATACCCTTTTTTCCTGAAGTGCCAATAAAGTTCAGAGAAATTCAGCAGTTGGTGTCTGGCTGGTTTCTTAAGGCTTGCTTGGAGTCTAGAGCTGTGTCTCGAAGCTGAACAGGTCTTCCATGTGGGTCTGAGAGCACAGCCTGGTAGAGCTCTCAGGAATGAGAAGATCTTACTTGCATCCTGAAAAGCAACTCCTTGAATAACATCTCTTTCCCACTCCCCAGCCCTCCCAGCTGTCGGACTGGAGCCAGTACTGGAATCCATGCTTCTTTGTGGAGATGCTGAATATAAATTTAAATTGTATTTAACTTGTAAGTGGACTGAATGGAGGAGGAGGAGGAGCAGCTGCTGGATCTTGCCACTGGTGAGCCCATGTGCATCCATGACCAAGTTAAGCGTGCAGAAGGTGGCCAGGCCTCGATGCTGCTGCTTGTCCTTCATGTCCTGCTGGGTCTGTCCTGCCCTGATCCAGGATTTCAGCCCAATTTGTTTTGCAGCTACCTCCCATGGGTGTCTCTACCTGCGATTCCTGAGGTCTCAGGACTGGGTCCTACGATGGAAGAGCATGGCTGCTGCCACCTTTCTGCTAATGAACTGTGTGGTCTTTCCTTGTAGCTGCTCACCGTGTGGTTGCGAAGAAGGGCTCTGTAGAACTTCTGCCTTGTGGCTGCTGCACTGCAGAATAAGGCAGAGATGTCATCAGAACCTTTTAGCACTCAGAGATCTGGTGCTAAGGGAGAAACCTGATGTCTGTAAATAAAACGTGAGGTCTGGAGCAGTGGAGACTTCTGCAGTTCCCAGCAGGTTTGGCAAGCATCCAGCTTCCATAGGTGGGTCTTTCTTGTTCCTTTCTTCCAGGATTCCAAAAAGCTGAACACCACTGGAGGAATTGCATTTCTGCTTCAGCGCTACAGCAGCTTTCAAGGGAAGGTTGCACTGGTCTGGGGAGGTTATTCACACAAATGGGGTTCTTTCTTCTCAATGGACAATACCTTTCAGCTTGTGCTTAGATTTCTGGAGTCTCTGAGGACTCTCTGCCTGCAGCCAGATGACTCTTCTGCATGAGTGGGCTGGCTTTCATGGCATCTCCTTGCCTGTATCTGTGGAGGCTTAAGAGGCTTAGTAATTCTCCAGTTTGGTAAATCTATATCCAGTTTGTCTTTGAAGAAATGGAAGTGCAAAGCATTAACAGCTGAAGGCTGCTTCTGTGCAGGACCATGTAGTTAAAAATCCAAAACACCTGATTCTTCTAATCTCGGAAGGTATTTTGTAGTTTAGAATCAGAAATTGGTATTTAACCTCTAGTTTGTGTAGACAGCTTCTGGGTTTGCTGTTGTCTGTGTCCTTGCCTGTATCTGTGGAGGCTTAAGAGGCTTAGTAATTCTCCAGTTTGGTAAATCTATATCCAGTTTGTCTTTGAAGAAATGGAAGTGCAAAGCATTAACAGCTGAAGGCTGCTTCTGTGCAGGACCATGTAGTTAAAAATCCAAAACACCTGATTCTTCTAATCTCGGAAGGTATTTTGTAGTTTAGAATCAGAAATTGGTATTTAACCTCTAGTTTGTGTAGACAGCTTCTGGGTTTGCTGTTGTCTGTGATACGTTTCAGATCTAGTTCAGGCTACACTGGCAAGTGCTGGGCTCTCAGGTGCTTTTGTCTGAAATGAGGACAGGTTGGACCATAAAAAGCTCTCAGAAGAGCTGGGGACCAGAAACACTGTGTTTTTGCAGGTTCTGGAATGTGGCTTTATTAACCAGTGTAACTTAGTAAGAATTCTAGAGTCAAGTTTTCATGGAGATGAATCTCCCTGGTGGACTAATGCACTGTGCTGAGGATACTCTGTCCTGCTGATACGTTTCAGATCTAGTTCAGGCTACACCAGCAGGTGCTGGGCTCCCAGGTGCTTTTGTCTGAAATGAGGACAGGTTGGACCATAAAAAGCTCTCAGAAGAGCTGGGGACCAGAAACACTGTGTTTTTGCAGGTTCTGGAATGTGGCTTTATTAACCAGTGTAACTTAGTAAGAATTCTAGAGTCAAGTTTTCATGGAGATGAATCTCCCTGGTGGACTAATGCACTGTGCTGAGGATACTCTGTCCTGCTCGGTGTCAGTGCAGCTGTAGAAACAAGGGTGCAATTGCTTTTTCCTTCTCCTGTTTTCACTTTCCAAGGCAGGGAATTGCAAGGGGTTGGTCTCCAAATTCTGATTTGTTTTGGTGTAGACAAGTCCTGTAGGGACTTCTCCAGGCAGATGGCAAGCTTATCTGGTGCTTGCTCAGGCTGATACACGTGGAGGGAAGCACAGGCTCTTTTTTATTTTTTTAGGTGGCCTGGTGTGACATTCTCACTGAGCAGATGAGCAGGCTCAGTAGCCTTCCAGCCACTTCCTTTCTTTCCTGTGATGAACAATAATAGAATTTGAACACCCCCTGGTGCCACGCTTATCAGTTCAGGTCAATTTGTGCAGGATGCTGTTAGTAACTATGGCAACTTAGTAAAGGAACCAGATTAGATGTTGCTCTCTGCTTATCAGGGTAGGACTCTACCTTTTGACAGCACTATCCTCTTGAAATCTGTTTTGAGTTGTGGAACCAGTAGATAGTGGATCTCTGAGACATCAAATGAGATTTGTTCTCCCCTTTCTCACGTTAGCTGGTTCTAGAAGATGTTACTTCTGTCTGTAACTGAGCTTCAGTTTTGGTGGAACATGTGGCAGCAGCTCTCCGTTAAGTAGCTGCATCTGGTAGCTGTTTTCCAACATCTTGCAAAGCTTGATGAGGCAATATACGGGGTAAGGTATGACAATTGTAGATAGTTGTATGGCAGCTGCTTGAAGATGTGCAAAGGCAGACTGTCTCCCAGTGAGAAAGCAGAGAATAACTGAGGTATGGCTTGTTTGCCCTGTACAATCAGTCTGACCATTCTGTTGAGTGCTAGCTTCCCAGCTGTACCTCACTCAATCTTGGGCAGGCTAATTATCTTATACCAGTGTCTAATTGAAGCATGTGACAACTGGCAGAGAAAGGTGTAATTCATTTGTGACTGATATCAACCCATAACTGCTGCATACCCTTACGCAAGTTGACTCCACATGTGATATTAATGTCTCCTTTGCAGAAAAATTAGCTTATGTGTAAGTAAAAGGATCTAGGCCTCAAAGCATTGAATGTTAGGCTGAGGCTGGCTTTGCTCTTGTGTGTCTGCAGCTCTAATTTAAGTGCAGTTAGTGGGCAAGGGTGCAGGTCACTATGACTGAACGGTGCCTAAATGAACATCTAGTGCCAAGTGATGCGTCTCTGAAAGTTACTAGTAATTTTAAGATTAATTTTCCAGGGCGGATGGCAGGATGGAGTTGGGTATAGGGAGAAGTGGAGGAAAGAATGAGGAGACATTAAGGAAAGAGTAGTGCTGAGACTGCAAAAAGGAATATTGGGAGCTCCTGGAAGGGATTGTACCTCCGACTTCTGGTGAGAACGCACTTGCTCTGAGCAGGTATTAATTAATGCATTGATAGAGCTTTCCAGTGAGCAGAGCTAGTTGGAAAATTACAAGCACCCATGACTGCTATTGCCTCTAGTTGTGCATCATCTTTTAAAGAAATAATACAAGCCAGGGTTGATCTTCAATCATCAGTATTTGATTACAAGCACCCATGACTGCTATTGCCTCTGGTTGTGCATCATCTTTTAAAGAAATACAAGCCAGGGCTGATCTTCAATCATCAGTATTTACTGAAGGGTCAAGGGGATGTGAAATATACTGCTCTGGAGCTGGGAGGTTACAGGGAAGGCTGTCTATACCCCGCATGCAGCAGTACTGCCCTCCCATCCATCTCTGAAGCATCCTTGACTGAAGGAGAAGCATCTGCACATGAAGGCCTTGGCTGGGGCACCGTAACTTCTTGGTGGCCTTCACCCAGCCAGCAGCTGCATTGCCAGAGGTGGCTGCTGTCAAGAAGCCAAGCTGTGAATTGATTTAGTTTTGTTGTTGCAGCGTCAGCCTGTCTCTGATGATTGCCTTGTTCTCCTCTTGCTTCTAGTGGTGAAAATCTGGCCCTTGCTCCTTTGGTTGTAGTCATTCTCGGAAGGCTGCTGAACATCTAGAGAAAGGTCAGAGCAGGCAAATGGTAGTCTTGTTTGATGGATGTAGAAACTGAGGCACATTTACAGCCTTCCCCATGAGCCTCCAGCCTCCAAAAGGCAGTATCTGGGATTGGAGCACACTTGGTGTAAGCACTTTGTCTCCAGGTTTGTGTTCAGTGCCTCTGGTTTGGGGCAATGCTCTGGACGTGTTCCTGTGGGCTTGGAGAAAGCAGAAAAAGCATGAGTTGTCCTCTTTGATTTTATTTGCATCTTGTTCTGGAACAGGAAAGGAATTTCTTCCTCCCTTAATTTATTGGAGGTACCAAATCTTGATTCAAGCGGCAGTGGAGTTACTCTCCCAACCTCAGAACTGCTGCGTTACTCAAACTATATTAATGTGTATATTGATGACTACAGGATTACAGTTGCTTTCAGAAGAGGCAGCAGACTAATACGGTAATTTTAAACCTTCCTTCTAGGGTCTCTTGGAAGCCACAAAGTTTACAGAAGAGGTCTTCTGGTCAGAGCTGTTTGCACAGAGCGTCTGCTGCCCAAAGGACCCGATGCACGTCTGCCTGGTGCTGAGCATGCCTACGTGTGTGGTGAGCCAGACCACAAAGGACTGAAGCTCAAACGGTGGTCAGAGGAGCTGGGTCTGGTATCTGAGAAGTCGGAGTGTGCTTCTGGCTGAGGAGAGCTGTAACCTCTTGCTTGGGTCAGTGGAGCGCTGATCTCCATCTGTCTACTCCCTGTGCAGAGACCAGGGGTGAGGTGGAGTTGGTGGCACCTCGTAGCTCTTTTGGGCGTTTGCAGGAGAGTCCCTAGGGTGGGAGTGGGTGCAAATTGTCCTTTGCGTGGTGCAGAAGACATTGGGTGATGTGTTTCAAACCGGAAAACCACTTCCTTCCCAGCATGTGCTAACACCTCGCTAGATGTGTCGGCACAGCCTCTGCAGCGGCAGCAGCCTGTGACCTGCTGGCAAGCAAGGTGGGGAGGTATGAACATGTGCACGCTGATGGAAACTTGGCTCCTGGTGAATTTCTGTGAAACAGAGCTAAAGATTCACATCAGCTGTGTGTGTCCAGCCCATAAAGTGTGTGCTGACCTCCCAAAGCAACATTTTGAGGGGGTTTTCTTTCAAAGCGGGGGTATTTTTTCTTACTTGGAGTTTTTCTTTGTTGGTTGGTTTGGTTTTTGTGGGAAGGGGTCGTTACTTGCAAGGCTTTAGTTGTGTCCTGGGCTAAATGAAGAAAGGTTTACCTTGTAAAGGCTGCATTTACTTCTAGGTCTGCTGCCAGATGGAGTTGGGGAGAGGAGGGAAAAGGAAAATCTTACTTCTGCCTTTTTTCCTCCCTGTTTCAAAGATCTTTAAAACAGCCTTATCTGAACCCAGTACAGGGCACGATTCTCTCCTACCCCAGCAGGCTTGTTCCTGCTTTCAGCAGAGGACTGTTGGACCCCTTTGCTGCTTCTCACCTCCCTTCAGGACAGGGTACGATGCTCTCAGCCCCGAGTTCCCCCTCTGTGATGGCCTCTCTCCGGTGGGGTGGCATTGACCTGTCACTCGCTGTGCTCCGAGTTCCGGGCAAGGAGAGAGGTCAGTGCCAGGCAAACAGGCAAACGGCCTTGCTGTGCAAACTGCTGCGTGTGTATCTGGGGTATCTCTCAAGTCAAGGTTTGCTGGGGAGATAAGAAGCTTTGTGGTTTGCTTGGATGTGCTGTGGCCCCTTTCCTCCTGTCTCTCATGGCAAGCCTTGCTTTCCTTCTACGGAAATGAGCGAGAGACAGAAGTGGGCTGCCTCCTGCATCTCGGCACTGCCTGAAAAGTGAAGGCAGGACCGGGCAGAGGCTTCACAGAGCGATTTTTAAATTCAGGGCTGAGCTGCAGCCCAAGAATTGATGTATTCAGGGCAAACCACCTGGAAAAAGCTGACCTGAGAGCAAGGGACCACAGGACAAGGACAGTGGCCAGAGCTGTGTTCAGCTGAAGCGAGCCACTCGCCTCACTCTGTGATATAAAGCAAGGGTGGGGAGGGAAGCCTTCGAAGGATAGGCTATAAATTATTTGAAATGAGAACTTTTTACACTAACTGGGGTTGAGGAGTGGAATGACAGAGAAGCCCCGGTGATGCTGGGCAGTCTGTGCACCCAGGCCTGCCACGTGTCATCCCTGCTTTGGCACCCTCCTCCTGCCCTGCTGCTCCCAGGGACGTGCTGTGGGTGCCCCTCACCAACTCTGCACTTGGGGGTAGCACTTGTGCTGGGTTAAAAACCCCCAGTGATACTCAGTGGTTCATCCCACCCTCCCTGTCCTCGCAGAGCTGTTGGCCTGAACAAAACCTGAGGTGCAAATCCTGCAGCAGAGGGGAAAAAACCCCCACCATTTGTGGGACAAGCAGGGGCTGGCATGAGGGTGCTGCAAGGCTCTGGTTGCAGATTGAGCTGGGAAGTGTCACCTACGTTCAGCAAAAGGACCGAGGAGACTTAAGGCGGTGATGCCCTGCAAATATGACTCCAAGTTGTCCTAGATTGTGTCCCTCCACAGCAGAGCACCACACGTTCCTCTTGCAAGCGTCCTGTCACGGGAGCAGCCATGCCCAGGCTGTGCTTGGCAAACAGGAGTGAAGTGGAACAAAATATTCCTCTGTGCTGCTCTACCAGGTGCAAAGTGAACAGAGGGAAGTAGAGAGGTGGGTTTAGAAATTTGACTTCCCTCTAATGAAAAAATATGTTTGCTTTTTTTTTTTCCTTCTTTTAATCCTTTACCCGTAAGTTTCTCTCTGCTGGATCTATCTCGGTGGTTTGAATGCTTGGACACTTGCCTTTAAAACTTTATTGGACTGAAGAATAGGATTCCCCTTCCCCCTTATGGAAAATACTTGCACTCCCTCATGTCTTTGATGCTTTTCTCAGAAATCTTAAGCATCCTCTTCCAAGCTGAAAGCTTTGGGTGGAAAAATTTCATTTTGGGGTGAAAAGCCAAAACTTTCCAGTTATCTTCACAACTATGAATCCACTCTGTGTGCGTGTGAAGGGAACATTTTCCAACAAGTTCTCCTTCTTATGCTGTGGTTTCTCTCCCCTGTATGGATTCATTAGAGTCCCCAGTTACAAAGGTTTTTGCTTATAGTGGCTGCTAATAGATTAGTGCATTAAAAAAACTTGATTAAAGCAAAAATCCTACCAAATGGTGCACTGTTAATTTGGTATTAGGGACAATTCAGGCTCCTGAGATGAGAGCTGTTCTCAAACTCCACAAAACCCAGGAGCTGAAACTGTCTCTGCTATTGATTTAATTTACCCTGGAGAGGAGGGCAGAATAAACTAGTGTCTGTGTTTTTGGGAATAAATTAGTCTTCTACAGAATTCTTATTAGTGTGGAGTATCATTTAATGTGAAATGGATGATATTTTTCTGTGCCTTTATGGCACTTCCCAGCAGAGAGTTTAGCAAATGAGCAAAGTGTGGCTGCTTCTCCCCACTGTCCCGTGAAGTGTAAGTGAATATTCACATTTCAGAGCTGGGACCTTGCAGTACTGAGGAAGGCAACCATGAGGCTGGATGACATCCATGTCGAGAGCAGAATCCATGAGTCTTGCTCTCACCCCATTGCTGTAAGGACTGCTGTGTCCCTCTCCTCCTGAGGCAGCAGCCTTCGGTGCTCCTGCTGCTCTGTTCCTCCAGCCCTCAGCTTACAACCCCTCTTATGATTAGACATTGCAATGAAACTGGTCCCTAAAGGGAAGTCTGTAAGGCAAAACAAGGTGGGCATTGCTTGGGCACTGGGATGTAGAGATAATGCCCATATTACCATGCTTCACCTGATTCCCATCCCTTGATGGGCTGGACTGCAGCAAGATCCAAGCACAATCCCTCTGTCCATCCTTCCCTCCTCTTTCCCCTCCCTCCTCCCTCCCTCCCTCCACCCCTAGGGAGGCTGTCCTAGTTTTTTCTTTTTTTCTTTCTTTTTTTTTTTTCACCCCCCTGTCTCAGCTGTACTTATAACTCTTAATCTAGCTGGCCTTGCAACAGTCAACAGCCCGAGAGACACACACGGAGCAGGACCCTACGGAGCATGATAGCTCAAGGCATCTCGGGGCTCATGCGACCCTTGCTAAGTGGACTGAATGTGAGGAAAATCAGCTTTATTTCTCCCTGTGGGGTGACCAAACAGCATCACACACCAGCTAAGCAGGGGTCAGAAAGATGCTTCAGCTCCACGCATAAGCTCCAGGATGCCCCCGGGGAATCGAGGTGAGTAAAATACTGGACCCTTCCTTGTTGGAAGGGCCTTTTCAGGATGGACACACACTTACCTCTGCCTTGCCCCACAGAAGGGAGAAGAGAGAGGCCAGTGCAAACCAGGAGGTGGTGGAGGAGGAGGAAGTGTAGGCTGAGAAGATGCCGATGGGAGGAAGGTGGTGCAGGGAGCTGGTCTGTGAGAGGTGCTGCTCCCTGCTGCTGGGGCTGTGGAGGCCATGGCTAGTGGCCTGGACTTTTTTTTTTTTCACCCCCCTGTCTCAGCTGTACTTATAACTCTTAATCTAGCTGGCCTTGCAACAGTCAACAGCCCGAGAGACACACACGGAGCAGGACCCTACGGAGCATGATAGCTCAAGGCATCTCGGGGCTCATGCGACCCTTGCTAAGTGGACTGAATGTGAGGAAAATCAGCTTTATTTCTCCCTGTGGGGTGACCAAGCAGCATCACACACCAGCTAAGCAGGGGTCAGAAAGACACTTCAGCTCCACGCACAAGCTCCAGGATGCCCCTGGGGAATCGAGGTGAGTAAAATGCTGGACCCTTCCTTGTTGGAAGGGCGTTTTCAGGATGGAGACACACTTACCTCTGCCTTGCCCCACAGAAGGGAGAAGAGAGAGGCCAGTGCAAACCAGGAGGTGGTGGAGGAGGAAGTGTAGGCTGAGAAGATGCCGATGGGAGGAAGGTGGTGCAGGGAGCTGGTCTGTGAGAGGTGCTGCTCCCTGCTTCTGGGGCTGTGGAGGCCATGGCTAGTGGCCTGGAGCCAGGGCATGAAGGTGACAATGTGGCACGAGATTTGTTGGCTGTTGGGGCCCAGTCACCAGCCTTTGAGGAATGGGAATGGTGGGCAAGGTGTGTTGAGCAGCTGGGCCATGAGCCTGCTGTGGGGAAGCTGGGATGACCAGTAGGCTCTGGGAATTGCAAATTCTTCTGGGCTTCTTGTCCCAGCTGCTGGAAAGGCAGAGAAGGGAGCTGATGCCTGCAGGTCCAAGGAGCAAAATGCTCTCTTTAGGTTATGGGAAGCCATTCTGCAAGCTCTTGTGGTTTGCTGGCCTGTTCCTCTTGACAGGGAACCGGAGGAGCCCTCTCGGGCAAGAAGGGAGCTGATGCCTGCAGGTCCAAGGAGCAAAATGCTCTCTTTAGGTTATGGGAAGCCATTCTGCAAGCTCTTGTGGTTTGCTGGCCTGTTCCTCTTGACAGGGAACCGGAGGAGCCCTCTCGGGCACTTGGCCACCCAGATGGTTGGTGTGAGGAGCTGTACAAGCCCACGGTGCTGGTGTCCTGCCAGGCTCCTGGGGCCAGTGACTTGTGCCGGGCTTTGCTGAGGCTGCCTGCTCAGGACAGGATGCACAGTTTGTCGTGGTGGCCGAGTTTGTGAGCTGAACTCTGTGGTGGAGGTTGGTCGGAAGCTTGTGTTCAGAAATGCCTCTATAAATGCGTTTGGTCGCTGCCAGGGTGGAGGACTCCCTGTGCCTGCCCTGGATGGGCAGACTTTGGCCTGTTTAGGAGCTTGGTTGACAGAGTCCCTTGGGGGAAGCAGTCCTGCAGGGCAAAGGAGTCCAGGAAGGTTGGACACTCTTCAAGAAGGAAATCCTGAAGGCACAGGAGCAGCCTGTCCCCATGTGGCGAAAGGATGGGGCTGACAAGAGGCTGCCAGGCACAGAGCACTCATCTGTATTTCAGCAGCAGGCTCCCTCCAGTCTTCCCTAGGGATAATTCAGGAGGGGATTGCATTTCTCTGAGCAAAATAAAAGGAATTTGTACCTTTGTAGATCAGCACAATTTGGGTCGTGCTGGTAATCTGTGAGACATTGAGAAAAAGACCCAACCGACATCACAGAAAATGCAACAAAGCATTTTTTTATCTGACCTTAGAGAAAAGTTATACTGATAACCCTGCTTAATGGGATTTATGAAGATTTGTTATCGATGGGTTTTCTTTCTAATTGCTTTGTTGCTTCTGAAGTTATCTCTGGCAGTACTTGTAGGAATCTTGCTGTTTTGTGTGGCCTTGGAAAGTATCTTTTAGGGAAAAACACTGACAGGGAGAAAAAGAACCTTCTTGAAACCCCCTTCGCTAGTTACCTGTGACGCAGAAAGTTTGAGAGAGATATATATATATATATTTATTTTATTTTAAAGAGAATAATTAGTTGGCATGTGTTGAACTTGGACTGCTGAGTTTGTCACATCCTGATAAGATCTTTCCAAAGCTCTGACTGTGTGTCCCATGACAGTGGCATCATTGTAAAATAATTCAGCCTAAATGAAGCAAAATTTAGTTTAATCAATTTTGAGTTGTTCTTAAAGTCCTGGTTCAAAATTACTTTATTAAGCAAATGTGAAATTTTTTTTTTCAGTTTCAAAAGCGCTGATAAACAAATTCAAAAGTAAATAGAAAATGAAAGCTACAGATTTTCTTTCCAGGCTCTCCTGAAGCCTTGAGTACCCAAAGGAGGTGGTCTCCAGAGCAGAGTCAAGCCGAGAGGGGTGCACTGCTGCTCCCAGGCTTGTCCAAAGTCACACAGGGATCTGTGACAATGGCATCTCTAATTCCTTATATCTTGCTGGATACCCTGTGTGCTGTCCCTGGCTGCAGCACAGCCGTCTCAGGGCTCGTTTAACTGGCAGCAACAGTCAAAGCAGGGATATTTTTCCAGGAGGAACTGCAGGGAACAAATCCCCCTAGTGTTTGTGGGAGCCTGGTGCGAGGATCCTCCTGGGACGGATGTCAGCTGAAGCTCTAACTGCCTCAAAGACAACAGGAATGACGTTTTCTGTCCATAAACATGTGTGCAGCTTTGGGGACTGCTGGATCCAGCACTCTCTGCTTGCAGGCAGCCAGCAAGTATTATCCTGTTGAGGAATCCACTGAGTTGTAGCATTAGAACCTATGACTTTTAATGCTTCTATTGTGTAACAAATCATTTCACCCGTAACCGTAAAACCAACGTTGCGAGGAAACCTTGCCTATTCACCATAAAAATGGAAATAAATGGGTCGAATCCATCGAAATATAGGGAGGGCTGTTTTGTTTTGTTTTGTTTCCTTTTGGCGGAAATATAGGGAGGGCTGTTTTGTTTTGTTTCCTTTTGGCATTTGAAAAACTAGACCTTAAATTGCTTATTTACAACAAAATGTCTGTGGGTGTCTCTATGAAGGAAACCAAAATGTCTTAAAGATGTTCCTTGGCTGTTTGCTCAGGGAGTTAGGGTGGTCCTGCTTGGCTCTGCCTGACTCCAGCGTGATCTTTCCATTCTGCACGTGGGAAACCCTTCCCTCCGCAGCCCGGTCTCGGTGCAAACTTCACAGCTGTTTTCATAACCAGGGGACCCTGTTGCAGATTAATGGCCCAGGCATTGTTTTCTGCCGAAATTTGCTGAAAAACAGGAAGCTGGCCTCCCCAGACAAAGGTACAGCGGCCCCTGTGTTCTGCTCCTGCTCGCTGAATCGAGACGCGGCTGAAAATAAAAGGGCAGAGAAGGCAAAAAAAAATATTGTTTCACCTCCCTTCTCCATTTCCAAATTTTGATGGAATGTGGGGATTGGCTTTCCAAAGAGAGGACTGGTTTGGAATTTTCTATGCCTGAAGGCTTGGTGATGAAGTCCAGGTGACGACATTTTAAGAAACAGCATCCTTAATCACTTAGAGATGCCCTGCAATGATTTGTCAGCAGGTAGATGGGAGCAGATCTAGATGGTGATTGTGGCTTATGTGAAGCAGAATGAAAAAGTCCTGCAAACTTGAAAAAGGAGAATGTTTCTTCCCCCTTTTCCATTGCATTTTTACAGGAATTCTTTCCTGTCTCCTATTCAGCTGGATACATCCCCTGTACTCCACTTCTGCCTCTTGTGAGTTAAGAAAGAGCAAAGGAAATTGTTTAAACTTGATCCTTAAATATTTCTGGGCTTAATGTTAAAAGGAAATCAGAGATTGCCACATGATTCATTTTCCCCTGCCACAGAGCAGAGGGATGAGCAGACAGGGTAAGTCCTTTCAGCTGCTGGTGTTGCTACCCCAGAGGCAATTCCCATTTAACCAATTCCTCCTCCCAGTGCCTGTGACTTTCCACCAGGCACTTCCTCGGCTGGTGGGTTTGCTGTCACCTGTGACTCTGGGGCTGAGACAGTTTGTATTCAGTGTATATTGCAAATACATGGGAAGAAGCCAGGAGACAACACCAGAACTTCTCAGAGCCCTGAGCCGTACCTGCTGTTTGTTTCACTGGCCCCAGGGCTTCCAGGAGAAGTGTTACCGAGCTTCATACCAAACAGCACTTGGTATTGGAAGAGAAACTGGATGATGCTTCACTCAGCCTTGTGTGCGTGGGGGGAAAAACATCAAGAAACTGAGCTTGACTGGTTCTCACTGCGAAATTTACTCAGTCTTCAAGGCTGTGGTTCTCTCTTCCGATGCCAGAAATGACGGCAGCAAGGCCATGGGGCAGCGCTGACACTGCCTGTGTTTGGCAGTTTATCAGAGCTGTGGGAGACAGAGGTGGATCTTTCCAGAGATCTGGGAGAGTGGTGCGTGTTGTCAGCCTGATGGAAAAATAGAGGGTGGACCCAGGCCAGAAGGGACCTCCAAAGGTCATCTAGTCTGACCTCCCCGCCATCAGCAGGGACACCCCCAACTAGACCAGGTTGCCCAGGGCCTCGTCGAGCCTCACCTTGAATATCTGCCACTGGAGGATGTCCTGGGCTCTGAGATGATGATGGGCACTTGGGTGGTGCCACACTGAGAGGCACTGGGCAAAATACCCACTGCCTCCAGGGTGCTGCTCTGTTTCAGCACAGGAGGTGAGACCTCCTGCGACCTCAGGCTTCTGAGTGACCTTTTGGGTATGTACACTAAGAAAAACCACTGTTTGCTCATGTGCTTCCTCTGGCAAATATAATAGGTGGTCTCAAAATAGACTGTCTTGGGACAAAGTCCCTGACAGTGCTGGTGGCAGCCTTCCACGCTGGTGGGGAGAGCTTGGTCTGGAGGAGATGAAGTGGATGCTGTTTCCCTCTTATTTGTAGATGTGGTTTCCCACAACTCAGCACAAAGAGATGCTGATTGTCTTGTTCTTAACTCTCTACCAGATTAAATGTTGCAGGCAGTTGAAATAACCGGCAATTTCATATGAGGAAGGATCCCATCAGCTCAGAGGAGGTTACTCAGGGCGGTTGCTCTGTCAGCTGGGGCTGAGCATGTCTCATCATAACACGGCTCCCTGTGATTGAGTTCAGGGGAAGGAGTGGGCACTTTCTGAAAGAACAAGCAGCAGAAAAGGAGCAGTCATCAAGTAATCCCCTTGGGAAAGGAAGGGGAAACAAAGCATGAATGACAACAGCCCTTATTGCATGATTAGTGTTTGATCCGGAGCATTTTTCTTGTTATTACATTACTCCATCAGGATTAACATCCCAGGCTTGCAGATGCTTTGCCTGCCTACAAACACTGCCTCTGCCAGCCCCAGCTGAGGCAGCGGGTGCAGAGCATCTGTGCTTGTTCATGCTCAGGGAAAGATTTATTCTGAGAGACTTTTGATCAAGTGGGTAATATTTTGGGTCGACTCAGGCTTGCTTGCCCCTGAGAAATGATAATGTGAATTTTTTCTGACATGCGTGGTGTAATCCTTCCAGAAAGTGTTTGTGAGCGCATTTCCCTCCAAGTGCAATGTCTCTAGTGCTCAGCCAAAAGACCTCAACACGGGGCGTGCAGGAAAGGGTGGGCTCCTCTGACTTTTGCCGATTTGCCTTCCAGATCTGCGGACCAGGTGACGGTGCATTTCATAAATCGGGATGGAGAGCGACTCACGGCCACAGCCAAAGAAGGGGAGAGTTTGCTGGAAGTGGTGGTCAATCAAAATTTGGCCATTGATGGATTTGGTAGGTGTTACACAAGGGTATGTGCTCATATAATGCCCAGGGCCTCGTCGAGCCAAGGGACCTTAGAGATCATCAAGTTCCAACCCCCTGCCCTGGGCAGGGACACCTCCCACCAGCCAGCGTTGCTCAAAGCCCCATCCAGCCTGGCCTTGAACCCCTCCAGGGATGGGGCATCTTGTCTGGCCAACCTGGGCCAGTGCTTTACCACCCTCACAGGAAAGAATTTCTTTCTGGGGTAAAGAATTTCTTTCTGGGTTTATGTGTCTGTGCTGTGACCAGTGGGTTCCTGGGAATAGCGCCAACTGCACACATCCCCTGTGTTCTGGTGCTTCTCTTCCCCAACAGCTGCTTGTTGGCCTGGCTTCCCACTCCGAGATGGCAGTGGGACTTCCACACTATCACAGCTGGGGTTCCAGCAGCCTGTGTCAATGCATTTGGCTGGTTGGAGTTGAGGTACAAATTTGAAAACTGACTGTGATCCTCCCAGAGGGAAGGCAGGCTGAAACCTGCATCCATCTGTTGTGTTCTCTGGCATCCCCCTCGACACACTCCAGACCTTTAAAGGTTAAAGGACCTTTAGGTCCCTAAAGGACATGTTAAAGGACCTTTTCTCACACTGATGATCTCACATCTCACAAAGATGATTTCTTTCAACCTCCCTCCAGACCTTTAAAGGTTAAAGGACCTTTAGTCCCTAAAGGACATGTTAAAGGATGTTAAAGGACCTTTTCTCACACTGTTCCTGAAGATGATCTCTTTCAAACCCCCCCCCCCCTTTTTTTTTTTTCTTTCTTATTTGCTATCACTCCCTCGTTTCTCCACCAGGTGCCTGTGAAGGGGCATTAGCCTGCTCCACCTGTCACCTTATCTTCGAGAAGGACACCTTCCAAAAGCTGGATGCCATCTCAGATGAAGAGCTGGACATGCTGGACCTGGCCTATGGACTCACTGAGACGTAAGCCTCCCTGCCCATCCCAGTAGCCTCTGAGGCCGAGTCCCAGCACCTGGTGCCTGTTTCCAAGGGGACAGGACTTACTCTGTGTCACGGTTGTGCCTCTAGATTCGCTTTCTCTTGGGGCACAGGAAGCCTTTAATGAAAAAAACCCCACCTGGACCAGACAACCCAACGTGGGAAGGGAATTTCTTCCTTTGCTGTAGGAACAGACGAGCATCACTTCATGTTTTCTTCTCAGGTCTCGCCTTGGCTGCCAGGTGTGCCTTAAGAAGTCGATGGATGGTCTGACGGTGCGGGTCCCTCTGGATGTATCGGACATCAGGAGGCAGGTGGAGGTTGGAAAACAAAGCAAACAGTAACTGGGAACGACTCCTGCCCAACTCACCTCCTCATTTTAGGTGTGGGAGGGTACTTTGCTTGAGGTTCACACTATTGCTCCTTGTGGCTGGCTCGCAGTGGACCATAGAGGTCTGATTCAGTGTAGATGCCTGTTTGTCGAATCTCTTCTTTAAACAAAGCTTAATGCTAGGACCTTTGCTTCATGTTTTAAGTTAAGTGCTTAAGTTCTCTGCTGAATGGAACCGGGTCCCCATGGATGTATCGGACATCAGGAGGCAGGAGGTTGGAAAACAAAGCAAACAGTAACTGGAAACGACTCCTGCCCAACTCACCTCCTCATTTTAGGTGTGGGAGGGTACTTTGCTTGAGGTTCACACTATTGCTCCTTGTGGCTGGCTCGCAGTGGACCATAGAGGTCTGATTCAGTGTAGATGCCTGTTTGTCGAATCTCTTCTTTAAACAAAGCTTAATGCTAGGACCTTTGCTTCATGTTTTAAGTTAAGTGCTTAAGTGATCTGCTGAATGGAACTGGGCTTAAACGGTGTGGCCTTCCATTTCACACTGGGCTTAAACGGTGTGGCCTTCCATTTCCCTGGGCGGGTGACAGTAAACATCTGGGCTCTATGTGACTCACCCTCTCCTTTGAAATTCAAGGAATTCTGCTATTCTAAGTAACTGCTGGGATTTTTTCAAGGCTTGGCTCTTTGACTGTAGAGCAGATTTTTCCCGATTTGGGAAGTTTAAGGAGAGATAGCTGTTCCAAATACAGTCAGTGTGCTTATTGGCTTGGTGATATCGGCCAACTGAGTTTGGTTAGCAAGAACGTACCGATAACCATTTAAATGCTGACATTTCCTATAAAAGGGAGCCACTTTTTATGAGTTTGAGACATTACATGTCACTGAATTATTATATGCCATGATCTGCTACTTTTTCCAAATATTAAATTTTCCCATTTCTGTACTACCACATATGTCAAATAAAATTCTAATAATCTGGCTTTTAGACCTGTGATACGTGCTTTTCTGGTAACGTGAGCCTGGTTGGAATAGAATGAGTTCGATGGAAATTTAGGCATGATATCCTGTTGCCCCAGTTTCCTTGACTGGATTTTCCCCTCATGTTTGAGTGAATATGTCATATTTGCCATCTAAATGTTGTAGAGAACTCATGATCTGTCACTGAGTTTTCCAAACAGAATTCTGCATGGAAACCTTTCCCTATGGGTTGAGTCAAAACCCAGGCTATGTTTAGCAACCAATTTAAACCAATAAGTTTCTGTACCTAGGCAAGGTATCAACCCCATAAAAGGTGTATACATTTAAAAAATGCTTATCTTATTAGAGCATTCGTGGCTTTATTTAGCATAAATTGCAGAGTTTTGATTGGGGAGGGGAGAGTCTGCCCTTGTGGGAGGGCAGGAACTGCTCTCTGCCCATCACAGCCCCTTCCAGCTGGCTCTGAAACCAGCGTAAAAACCCCTTTTGCACACCAAAAGTCCAGTCAGTCAGAGGAGTGTGTGGCACTTGTGCTCAAACATATTTGAGAGACACAAGGAACATTCACAAAAGGAGACATGGGAATGGAGGGGGAAGGTGGAAGGGGACAGTGTTGGTGACCCAGCTTGATAAAGGGTTATGAAAGGAGGTGCTCTGTCCCAGAGGAAGCAAACCTCTGAAGGGACTGTAGCCCATAGGTGACCCACACTGGAGCAGGCACTACCCTGAGGGGCTGCAGCCCATGGGTGACCCACGCCAGGGCAGGGACACCCCTGGGGGACTTGCGGGCCCTGAAGGATCAACACTTGAGCAGAGGTAACAATTAAGAAATCAGGAGCACGGAAAGTATAGGAGTAAGAAGCCAGAACTGGCAGAAAGAAGCTATTACACGTGAACTTTGCAGTCCCACTCTTCTTGGTGAGTTTGAAGCTGGATGACAGGTTGCTGGTGAGAGATAGCCATTCTCTACACACAGATGTGATGCCACGTGCTGGTGGGACGGCGAGGGAGGGGAATAGCTGCTGGCTTGGAAGGGTTTGAGTGACTGTCACATTCCTTTCCAGAGCGTGGGTGGCCTTGGAAGAAAAAGTTTCTGGGGCAAGCTGTTTGCTTTGATGTGCAGGTAACCAAAATAGCCCATGGTACTCTTTGGCAAGGTCCTTCTGTAGGATATCGGAGAGGACTCTGCACAAAGGAGCTCCCTGCAAAGGAGAGGGGAGAATCTAAACCAGGAGACTGGCTTTTCTGATTCTGTTGAGAGGTCAGAAATGGGATTGAGACGGTTGAAATAAAACTACAGCTGCCCCGGGCACTTCCATCACGGTTTCTGTCAGCCTGCAGGAGAAGGGAACAAATCATACGTACCGAGCAGAAATGAGAAGAGGCTGAAGTCCATGAGTCACTGTGTCTTCAAGGCAAACGAGCTGGACTTGTCTGGCCTTGATCTGCACCAGGAGCAGGTCATGAAGGCTCCTTGTTTCCCAGATACCAGCCACATGACATTTCTTCCCAAGTGCCTGTGTCCAGTGGGGCACCGAGTAGAGCTTTCAGTGTGTGTCAGGCCAACTTGTACTAAATCTCTCCTTTTTTGATCTAAAAAAGTGTAAAGGGAGAAGGGAAACCTCTTTGGGTCTGAGGGCTGTACATGAAGGGGAAATGTGGCCTTTTCTGGGGTGGAAACCAACTGTCTGTGTATTTGGTATTTCTTCTTATGAGCAAGGAACTTTTTCAAGACTACTTGGTGACTTCCTCTCTGTCTCAGGGAGGGGCATGTCCCACTCGGGAGTTTTGAGAGAGGAATTTTGGTAGCAGATGGATATCAAATGTGACAGGAAAATGACATCAAACAGAACCCTGAGGCATCACCCATCACATTCTCAGCAGGTGTAAATCAGTGTCAGAGGCAATGATGGTGAGGATGGGGCACTCTCCTGTTGAGAAAAGGAGAACTTTCGTGTAAGTTCTGTAATTATCTTCCTTGGACAGAGTCAACTATCCAGGGAAATGTGCCCATATTAGGCAGCCTAAGATGAGGAGAGGAAAACGTGTGTTTTTCCTTGCCTCTCCCAGTGTTTCTATAAGCTCTTCTCTTTCTAACTTGCTTGTAATTCTTTTAGGTGATGCAAATTGTGAGCTCTTACTCTGGGCTGTCCCCTTTGTTTGAACAGAGACCAGCCCAGCCACCGAGCCAGTTTACAATCCAGTAGCGTGTTTAGAATACAGAATAATCTCTCTTTCCAAGTGCAGACAGCCTGCTCTCATAATATTTAGTGCTGTTTCAACCTTCCTGAAAAGGCACAGGGAAGAGTAATGCTGGAAGAGGGTTCCTCGGCAGCGTGGTCAGATCTGGGGTGGGAAGAATGTGTGTTTCACCACACGGTTTGGTGTCCTGCAAACACCACCACCCAAGCACAGAAGAGAGGGGAGATAAGAGCAAGGGAACAAGAGGTGATCACCACACCACAATGACAAACTTGTGTGTCTTTTATTGAAATAGTTACAACTGTAGCTCTGGGAGAAAAAAAAAAAAAAAAAAAAGAATGGGGGGGCCTTGTAGGTGAGAATTTGAGGATGAATCTTTCTGCATATTTTTTCTGGCACTTTTTTTTTTTAAAAATTTTAAACCGTAGCGTGGGGAAAAAAAAAAAAAAAAAAAAAAGACTGTGAGTGCCTTGTCAGTGTTCATGTGTAAGAGAAATGATGGTGGGGTGTGTGGGGGGTTGTATTACAATTATGTACACCTTTCATCATCATACAAGGGCCACTAAGGTGATCTGGGACACAAGGGTGTCTCATCTGAGAGTTAAACACCCCGCATAGAACAAATTAAACTCTATACACCTTGGAAAGTGGGCTCTGGCTTTCCCCCTCTCTCCCCTGCTCTGGGATTTGATGGTGTGAATTTGGAGAGCTGGGCCAGCTTCCTGGCACTGGCTGTCACAGTCACCTGGCAGATGAGTGGAGGCATCTAACACCTACTAAATCATTTTACAGGGGTGGCTTCCCTCTCTGTGCAAAGACAGAACCACGGTGGGTGTCAAACACCTCCAGGTATGGCTATTGCAGACATTCAGTCACTTGCAGGGGGCACTTTTACTCCACAAGAATTACCTTTCAGTCATTAGGATTCATGTATTTCTCTTGTCCTTCACCAATTCACTCTTAATTGAGTAAAAGGAGTGCCTCTCTGGGAGAAACCAACTTAGAAAACTCTCGCATAGCTTTCAAATGAAACATCCCAAACCTTTTGACCTTTGAGACTTTTCCCATCGTTTTCTTAACGCCTGTCAAACTAACGGGATGCTCCCAGCTCCTTTTCAGAGCTCAGCTGGCAGCATCACAGCGCTCTAAGCAAATCCCATTATGGCTCTGGCACTTCTGAGCATTGCCTTGAGTGGAATCATGGGGATGCTCCGAAAAATCCGCTGGCAGCGTTTCTTTAGAGCATCCCTGCCTGGCACTTCTCCAGATGTAATTCTGCAGGAGCCATGTGCTGTGCTGAGTGGGAGCTCCTTGCTTCTCAGTGGCAGCACCAGTGCTCTCCAAGCCTGGACAGTCTCTCAGCTTATAGACTGCCTGACAACTTTCTGGCCAGATGGGGCTTTGCTTCAGCACCCGCTCGACAACATTCTTGACAACTTCCACAACTCCTTAACATCATGCTAAAGCCAAATCCTGCTTAAGTCCCTCTCAGAGTGACTAGAAACTTGATGAGTTGCCCCACTCTCACTGCTTCTGGAGAGGGCCTTCTGAAATGTCACCATCATTTACAGAAATACAATGTCACCTTTTACTAGGACTAAAAAGACCAGCCACTCCCAGAGGACACTGAAGAAGACAAATGTCCATTGCCCTCCCAAAGTGACAGCGTTAAAATCCTATATAGTAACTGTGGCTCTGTCTAATGCTAATTTTGGGGGAGATATGAGAAGAGAGAATCAATGCACAATTAACTGGCAAAAACCAAAAGCAATCTTGGGGTTAAAAAAATGTTACATGTGTCGTCTGTCAGTGAAAGCTGGGCTTTGGGCTCAATTTGATGTTTCTGCAACCCAGCCTCAACCAGTAACGAACACAGACTGTGAGTGAGCCCAGCAGGGAACAAAAGATGAGCAGAGAGAAGCAGCAGTGATTTCTGGGATGAAGGTGAAGGGTTTCCCTCCGGATGAACGGTGATGAACAGTGACTAGTGGAGGATTTTGTGCAAGCGTAAAGATTTTTAACTGATTCTGGTGGAGCATTA